TCCCCTCTTGCTCTGGTAACCACTTTCCTTTCCCACCAAAAATTGAAGACTGAGTTTCCCTAACTGGACAGGGCAGGGCAGGGCAGGGCAGAGCAGAGCAGGCTAGAGTAGAGTGGACCTGAGTAAGTGGAACACACCAGAGTAAAGAACTTCCTCACTCCAAGCTGCCTCACAGCTGTGCTATTCCACAGCCATGCTGTATCACAGTTGAGCTGTTTGCACCGAATAGTTTCCCTCTTCACTGCACCCTAAATTGGAGATTTCTGTTAGCATTGATTTGGTTCCAATGATCATTGGTTGACAACCCTATAAATAGGGGCTTTCCCTTTATTGTCCTGCCCCCACATCACTGATTACTTCCCCTAAACATTTACCTTTTTAAAAAATATATATAAATATATTTTTATTGATTTCAGAGAGGAAGAGAGAGAGAGAGAGAAAGAAATCAATGATGAGAGAGAATCATTGATTGACTGCTTCCTCCATGCTCACACTGGGGATTGAGCCTGTAACCTGGGCATGTGCCCTGACTGGGAATCGAACCCTGACCTCCTGATTCATAGGTTGAAGATCAACCACTGAGCCATGCTGGTCAGGCAAACATTTACCTTTTATTATATCTACCTTTTTACCCTCTGTCCAGGGGATTGCCCCCAGTTCAAAATCACATTTTGAGGAGGGGTACACTTCTCAAGGTTCAAGAGCAGATTTTAGAGTATCTCCTTGTGGTACTTGTTCAAAACCATGTTATGGATCCTACAAAGACACAACAAACACATACATACCCTCTTCCCAAATAAGTACAAATCCACACATGCACATAAACTCTCTCTCTCTCTCTCTCTCTCTCTCTCTCACACACACACACACACGAAGGGATAAGCACATCAACACACACATGTGTTAGAAATAAGGCTAGCCCCAAAACCAGGGGTCCTGGGAGAACAGAAAGATACTCAGGAGCCATACAGCAAGGGAAATATCTTTACTTCTGCAGAAGGGTGCACACGCACACAGGGTCTGGCAGCACGCACACTGAACTGACGGTCCGCTCAGGGTTTTATGTCTGATGTAGGTCATCTGTCCCTCACTCTTGATTGGTCAGAGCTTAGGCTCACAGTCTTGCGTGATTGGCTAATTTAAAGGAAAAAGGGAAGGGCTGACCCTTGCTGTTTCAAAATGGAGACCCCCAGGGGAGCTGCAAGTCACATGAGCCAAAATGGCGGTTGCCTAACCTCCCTTCTTTGACAGAAAAGATTACTTGTTTATTCTCACACATGCATGTAAACTTACATACCTGA